TTTTGATTCCTCTCTGTCCCCTGCAGGATGCCTCTGATAAAAAGTTGTCTGTTTGGCCCTCCCTGGTGGCGCAGCGGGTTAAAGCACAGCACTGAGAATCTGAAGCCACTTCCGCATGAGTTCGATTCCCGCCTGCCGCCTGCCCCGGAGGAGACCACATGGCGAGCCAGACCTCTCCTGACCCGCCCGCTGCTTCCCTCAGCAGTGTACTTCATCGATCTGCCTGTTCTGCTCCCCACTCTGTCTCTGGTGAAGCCTCTCACCGCCCCTGAGCCTCTGGCCTGTACCCCAGTTCTGTATGCACAAATAAATAAATAAATCTTTAAAAAAAAAAAAGTTGTCTGTTTATTTTTGCTTTGTTTTGCTTTATATTTTTATTACCTTTTCCCCTATATTCCTCTTATAAGTGAAACCATCCAATATTTTTCTTGTTCCTTCTGGCTTATTTTCACTGAGCATAATCCCTCCTAGCTCCATCTACATTGCTGCGAATGGCATGAGTTTATCTTTTTTGATTGCTGAATAGTACTCCATGGTATGTATGTATATATCACATCTTCTTGATCCAGTCATCTATTTTTGGGCATTTGGGTTGGTTCCAAGTCTTGCCTATTGTAAATAGTGTTGCAGTAAATATAGGGGTGCAGGTATCCTTTTGAATTAATGTGGGAGATCGCAAGGAATAGAATTGTTAGGTCATATGGTAGCTCTATTTTCAGTAGTCTGAGGAAATCGCCATATAGCTTTTCATAAATGGCTGGACTACCAGCTGTGTATGAGAGTTCCTTTTTGACCACATCCTCTTCAATATTTGTTGTTGCTAGTTTACTTACCATGTGCCATTCTTACTGGTGTAAGGTGGTATCTCATTGTGGTTTTAACTTGCATTTTCCTGATTATGAGTGATATTGAACATTTGTTTGTATGCCTGTTCATCATTTCCATTTCCTCTTTGGAGAAAGGTTTTTGTTTTTTAAGTTCCTCTGCCCATTTTCTAACTGGATTATTTACTTTGTTTTTGATAAGTCATGTGAGTTTTTTGTGTACCTTTGTGCTCAGTCCCTTATCAGTTGTATGGAATACAAAAATTTTCTCTCAATCTTCAGGGTTAATGTCTCTTGCTATTTGGAAGCTTTTTAGTTTGATGTAGTCCTGTCTGTTTATTTTCTCCTTCTTTCTTTGCTTTAGGGGAGGAGTCTTTAAGAATGTTACTGAGATGTATCTCTCGTAGTGGTATACCTATTTTTTCCTTTTATATATTTCATGATTTTAGGTCATCCATTCTGAGTTTATTTTTGTGCATGGTGTGAGGTAGTGGTCTAGTTTCACTCTTTCAGTTATGGAGTTTCAGTTTCCCCAGCATCATTTATTGAACTGTCCTTGTTCCATTGCGTTCTTTGCTCCTTTGTTGAAAATTTGTTGTCCTTATATGTGTGGCTTTATTCCTGGGCTTTCTTTTCAGTTCCATTGGTCTGTGTGTCTATTTTTGTCCCAGCATTAAACTGTTTTAATTGTTATAGCTTTGTAATTTAGTTTGAGGTCTGGGCAAGTGTTATCACCATTATTCTTTGTTTTAGTCAGGAGAACTTTGGCTATTAGAGGTTTTTAGTGATGCCATATGAATTGCATTTCTTTGATGAATGTCACTGAGATTTTTATTGCAACAGCATAAAATCTATAACTGCTTTTGGTAGGATGACCATTTTAATACTGTTGATTCTTCCAATCTATGTGCAGGCAATGTCTTTCCATTTGTGTCATTTTCTACTTCTTTTACAATGTTGTATAAATTTCTTTGTTTAGGTCCTTCACCTCTTTTGTTAGGTTTATTCCCAAGTATTTGAATTTTTTGTTACAATTATAAAAGGGATTTTTTATTTGTTCTCTACTGATTGTTTGCATATAGAAGGCTACTGAGTTTTTGTGTTGATTTTATACCCTGCGATTTTATTAAACTGTTGATTGTTTTGATTACTTTTTCTGTAGAATTTTTAGGTTTCTCTATGTAACTTATCATTTGCAAACAGTGATAGTTTTACTCTTTCTTTTCCCATTTGCATTTCTTGTTACTTCCTTCTCACTGCTCTGGCTAGGACTTCCAATATTATATTGAAAGCAATGGTGAGAGTGGATATCCTTGTCTTGTTCCTGATCTTCAAAGTAAAGTCTTTCAGCTTTTCACCATTGAGAATACTGGTTATGGATTTATTGTATGTGTCTTTTTAAGATTTAGTTATTTATGCATACAAGAACTGGAGTATAGACCAGAGATGTAGGGGCTGAGGGGGGGGAGGGGTAAGAGGATTCCCCAGAGATAGAGTGGGGAGTAGAATAGGCAGATTTAATTAAATACATTGCTGAGGGGAACAGCAAGTAAGATAGAAAAGGTCTGCTACACCATGTGGCTCACTTCCCAGCTGGGATCAAACTTCTGCTGCAGTGACTGTGGACAGCTTTACAGTGCTGTGCTTAACCTCTTGTGTCATCAGGGAGGCCCCTATTGTATATGGCTTTCATCGTTTTAAGGTATGTCCCCTCTGTCCCAACTACTAGATATTTTCTCTAAAGAACTGAAAGCACATATTCAACACAAAAGAGTTGGAGAAAGGAGTACTGTTAGGTATTTTGCAATGATGGTGTTCACATAAGCTTTCTCTACTAGCCAAAAAATTAAAAATATCCAAAAGTTCATCAGATGAATAAATGAAATGAAACATATGCAAACATTTTTTCAGCAAAAAGAACTATTCATATATACATATAACATGAATGAATTCCAAAACAATTTCTGAATAAAAGTGAGCTATTAAATATAAAAAGCATGTACAATTTCACTTAATAAAATTACAGAAAATGAAAACTGATCTACAGGGTCAGAAACAAATCTGGCTGACTAAAGATGAGAAGCAGAGTGGTTTTAGGGAGGAAAGACAAAGGAGATGATGTTCATCTATCTCTAGTTCATCTTAAGCACTATGCAAGTGCTGGTTAAATAATCAAATTAACATTCACCATCTAGTTAATACTGGGTGACAGAAGCAAAAAGACAAACTTTCAAAGTGTTGAAGGAAACTAATTTTCAAACTCAAACTCTATTCTTAGTTAATAGTCATTCATGAGATAGAATGGATTCAGGAAATTCACTTCCCACACAACATTTTAACAATTCAATTAAGAATAAAACTAATTTAAAAGTTAAAAAAAAAAAAAGATGATCCAGACAAAAATGGGGGGGTGGTGCACAGAACTATGGTGATGGCACATAGGTGAACTGGTGATGGGGAGTCCACAGGGATTACAACTGACATGGAAAAAAGCACAAAATGATGTAAAAATAAAGTATAATAATAATACAAGATGATCCAGAAACAGTGCCTCCCAGTGAAGACGATGAATTTTTAAAACTATCCAGCATGCCAAAATAACCAGGAGTGGCAGTAAAAAAAAAAAGATCTAAAGAAAGAGTACCCAAGAAGAAAACTTAGTAGAGCTCAAACTCTCTCTGATAAGAGTTTGGATGGGGAACCTTGTAAAGAGAAGTAAAGAAAGGCCAAACGAAGATAAAGACAGAAGCAGCACAAAAAGAGAAACAGATTCAGAGTATATAACCTGAATCTGCAGTAACAATAATCAACATTATTTATTTTCCACCTTTTAAAACAAACCTACTTGACCAATTTACAATTTAATTCTAAATTGTGAAAGTACAGTTGACAAGTATGGAGTGATGAGTAAATAGGATAGCAGAGATAGAAAAGCTAATACCTAATGTTGAAGGATGAAAAATCAAATAATACTTTAAATAGCAGGAAGAATAAGAAATAAAGGCATATTTCCCAAAAGAAGACATAAAGACAGTTATTTTCCATTATTAGGAGATGAAGTAGGGCTGCATATGATTACATATTTTTCTAGCATAGTTAGAATTCAACAGATCTAAAAATCAGTAAATCAAGAATAAGCATGGTACTTAACGAACCAAAGTTTTAAAAACACAAAATAGGTAAAATGCCAATAAAGTCTGATAGAAAGTTTCTAAAGCAAAGGAAACGAGCATTCTGTTTAAAAGCTTCTCAGAGAAAAACAAACAATAGTGAGAATGTCATAAAAATAAGCTTTTTGGTTCCTTCTTGGACAGTAGTTAAGCAAAAATCTGTATCTCATCAAGTTAAGCAAACGAAGTTCACAGAGATTGACCGATGCTTTCTTCAAAAATGAAGACGTGGAGACATGCCAAGCCCCTGAACCTTTTCAAACTAGAAATTCGAATTAAAAAGTACAAAATCGAACTCAGATGGAATCATGGAAAGAGAAATGCAAACCTCAAAATTGCCAAAAATCTATTTACACATTAAAAACTAATAGCAAAAAGTGTATTATTCAAATACAACCAGGATCTCAGAAAATTTGACCAGGCATCCTGTACGGCAGTGGGGGGAATGAGAGGAGGCATTTACCAGAATTCTATCTTGTCCCTGAGCGCAGCTTTCTTTCACCTTAAGATCCAACAGCAACAAACGGCCTCAACATTAGAATAAAACGTTGTAGGCATGGTCAGTAAGCAATGAAACATTCGACGCTGGACATTTGTTCACAAACTATTAATAAAGGTGGGTACAGCCAGCGCGCACCCCTAAGCCGCTAGCCGAGTATGTGGCCTAACAGTCTCATCCGAAAGCCCCGCGCGCGGCGCCTAGAGGAAACAAAAGCCGTAGGCGGGGCCTTCCGGTCCCGGGAAACAACCAGCAAGGGAGGTGCGGCCCTCTAGCTAGTTCTAATCCCGCTCGGCATCTCGCCCCAACCAGGCTACTTGCCAAGGCCCTGAATCCAACCACCACAGGCCACCTGCATGCCTGGCGGGGCAGCCCGCGGGGTCTACAAAAACGCGCGAACCCCGGAAAAGGCTTCCCCCAGGGGTGAGGCGACTGGCCCTATGAGTCGCGGCCTAGGCGCTCCAGGGGTTCCGGTTGTCGCGGGGCGGCCGCCGGACGCCTCCTTACCTTCTCTTCCACGCAGTTGACAATGATGGACGGGTACTTGCGGCTGAGCCAGCGAAAGAAGGCCGGGACTCCCATGGCTGAGGCCGAGGTGAAGGCGCTGGCCCGGCCTGCGGACGAACGTAACCAGAGAGACTAGAGAGCAGCGACTGCGGGAACGGCACTTCCTCCCACGTGCGCGCCGGCGACAGGAAGTGGTGTCACGGCAGCGCCGCAGGGGAAGCCGGGAAGGAGACTCGGGTAGGTCTAGGTGACTGTGGACCTGGTGGAGCTGGTCCGATTGGCTGTCGGGACGGGGCAGCGGAGCAGATGCTGAGCGGTTTGGCAGGTCTTGCCAAGAGCGCTGTCTTCCCCTGTTGCGCCTCTCGGAGCCGGAGGCAAAGCGCGTCTGAGTCTCGGGAGCCCCCCGGTGGTGCCCTTGCCTTCGCTTCCCCAGGATCTTGCTTTCCCCAGCCCCCAGATTCTCTTGGGGTCTGTCACCGCGCTCCGCAGGCTTGCAGGGAGCACTCTGCCGTTTTGGTCACGTCCACTTTCTCATTCATTTAAATTCGGAGTCTAATGAAAGGATCGAAACGCACTTTCTCCTTCTACCGTTTTTGTGCCACAATATTACCTATCAGAAGGTGTGTGTGTGTGTTTGCTTTTTTTTTTTTTTTTTTTTTAGGTATTTTGCACTAATGATGGCTGATTTGTATAAGCCATTCACCTTAAATAGTAATGAATGGAATCTAGCCAACGCTTATTTTCAGCATATGAAAAGAGAAGTCGGAAAGAGGAGAAGATATTGGTGCCCACTTTCTCAAGCCTGGATGTCTCTCCTTGGAATCCCCTCTTGGCTTGATAGATCACACTCAATACTAAAGGCTCACCTCAAGAGGCCTCTATGAAAGTATTTCTCTGAGCTACCTGGCATGCAATATTCATTGCCCCCCTCCTCTGTGTTCTGACAACATTTTGTTTAAACTGGTAGGGTGGAAGTTAGAGAAATGATTATCTCATCTTTTACTTCCCAACAGTTAAAACTATTCGAGTATTCTGCCTATGGTGAAGTCTCTTACTTCTCCTAGAAACAGCCCCTCCTCATCAGGTGTTTGGATTTCGTGGGACATGTTGTGTTCTTAAAGGAATACACATATATGTAGGCAGTGGGTACAGGGATGAACAATAGGGGACATCAGACCATTCGGATGCCGTGCACAGCATTTTAAAATTTTGCACAATAAGAAAGTAAGGCATCCTCTCTCAGATGGTTGAAAGCTAGACATTAAGATTTTAAACCGTTGCCAATCTGCAATGAGAGAAGCAAATTGAAGACCCTGATTCCGGTAGAGGACAGTTAAATTCCTCTTCTTGCAATTTTGTGGTTAAGCCTTTTGACCATGAGCCAATAATTTTTTTTTCCCTAATCTGGTTTGTGTTAAGTTCCTATCCCTTGCAAAGGGGAAAATCGAAACAAATAGAGAATTGCACAGCTTTGCATATCTCTGCTAAAATTGGCTTACATAAAAAAAGATACAAAAATTGGAGATTTGGGCACTGAGGAAATGGAGGGGAGTGGCACACAGGGCGACATAAGTAGAAAAGTGAAGAAACCTGGAGCATAATGGCTGAGGCTCGTGACACATTTCCCAGCCAGTTTTTCCATAAAGGTCTACCAGACTCAGGCTTGATGTGTTTCCTGTAGAAATCAAAAAAGATGATCATATTGGGATCATTGTGAATAAGAACCACAAACCTGGACAACATCAGAACTCAAGAAGCAAAAGTGAAATATATACAAATCAGAATGTTTGTTAACATTATGGATTCATTTTAAAGCTCCGTTATCACAGTAATTATGGAAAAGAATCTTCAGGGGGAAAATCTGCCTATCAAGTGCTTCATTATCCATACAAAATTCACTGCAAATAACCTGATGCATTTAAAATAATAGTTATAATAGTTAATTTTATGTTTCAGCTTGACTAGACTGCAGAGTACTTAGACATTTGGTCAAATTTTATTCTGGGTGTTTTTTTTTTCATGTGTAATTAACATTATAATTGGTAAAGAATATTATCCTCTGTAATGTGGTAGTTGTCATCTAATCATTTGAAGCCTTCATTAAAACATAAAGATATGCACCCTGAACATGAAGGATTTCTCCAGCTGACTCTCCTCAGACTTTGATCGGTTCTCTGGAGTCTCTAAGCGGCTGCCGGTCATTGAACGTTCTCTGGAGTCTCTAAGTGGCTGCTGGCCTTTGAACTGGATCTGCACTGCACTCTGAGTCTGTTAACTCACACTGCAGATTGGACTTGACAGTCTCCCTAATCATGAGCCAGTTCTTTATGATAAAAATTTTGGACTTCCTAAACTCTCAAATTTCTCCTATTGGCTACCTTACCTGGCAAACTTTCACTGATGGTGGTTTGGGTATTAGCATTGCATCTAGAGAAACAGAATTTTAAGGATGAGTTTTCTAAATTGGTTCTGGAGACTTGAAATGATTCTCTAACCTGATTAGATTTAAGGGCATCTGTTTATAGAAATATGCAAAATATCACCATTGGATAATCCCAGTCAATCACTTACAAGAAGCAAAACTATATGATAGTTAAAATACGTTTGTCAAGCTAGAAAATACAATGTGATTGATTGGTGCTCCTAATGTCACTAGACAAATCTGGAGGGGTGGGGGAGTGGAGTCTGGGGGAAGTAGGGAAAGAGGGAGATGAGCTGAGGAATTCAATTTTCCAGCTCAAGCACTGCATTAATTACCTAAAATGGCTATATCTGTCTTGTAAGAGACCCTTATTCCCTATAGACACAGGACTGATAGCTGAATTCCAAACTTACAACCTCATTTTGGAGTGAATTTATTACAACACAAATTGAATTCCCTCACAAGATGTCTACTGTTTAAATAGGGGTCCTGAAACTTGGAGTGGGGGACATGGGAAGACTAGTGGAACTGGAGACATTGCTGTCCTTATTCTGATTAGCCCGCAGTAGAAGCAGCCTTCCCAGGTCCAGTTGAGTTTGCTGCTCACCCCACCTGAGGCAATTGCAGTGGTCTCCCCAGAAGCAATTGCCTTGAAAGACAGTGACAAGTCAGGACCCACCCCACAACCTCTGTTTGCTTCTAGGCCTCTATCTTGATCTTTGGGGGATGCTGTAACAAAATACCATAGATTGGATTGCATATAAACAACAGAATATTATTTCCTATAATACTTGTGGAGACTGATAAGCCCAATTAAGGAGTTAGCAAATTTCAGTGTCTAGTAAAAGTTGTTTTCTCCTCATTGAGAATCATGTCACCATTACCTCATATGGCAGAATGGGCAAGGGAGCTTTCTAGGTTCAGTTCTCTTTTATAAAGGCATATTTATGACAGCTGCACCCTAATGAGATCACTTCCCAGTGTTCCACACCCCAACACCATCACCTTGAGGGATAAGATTTCAACTTATTGGGGAACTCACTAACATTTGATCTATCTATAGCAACCTGTAAATAGGCAAAAGTCCCAGCAAGCCACTAAAGGTGGGTACAGAGTCTGACCATGAGGTGTGTGAAAATTAGTGTACAGAGATCTATGTTGAGGTTGGGAGGCTAGAAAAGAGGTCCCGCACATGCACAATCAGCAAACTATAGGACCTAATATGTCTAATATCTAATATCTCCAACATAAAAGAATATTGCATCTGACCCCCTGCAGAAGAAATGAGGTTCTCATCTCTCAGCAGCAGCTCCTTGGAAGGTTGTGTAACCAAGTTGGATTTTGATCAGGCAGAGTGTATGTGTATCTTTCTATGATACTACACTTTCCAAATTGTCTTTGTTATTTTTCAGAATAATGCCATGTAGTTGATGAAATAAACCCATTATGTTTTGCTTGAAGTCAATAGGTGCACTGTAATTCAAAAGAACTGCTAGATTTTTCTAATTTATATAGCAATTCAAATAGTATCTATAGGAACAGACATTTTATACAAATAAGTGCCTATGTAATAAATATGATATTAATGTTTTCAGACATATTTCAGACACTTGGTCCAGATTATGTCCTTACATTTGTTATTGTAAATAATATTGAAAGAATGTAAGAATGCGGGTGTATTCTTTAGTTAGAGCTTTGTTTTTCAGATATACCTAGAAGTAGATTGCTGACCACAGGGTGATTCTATTTTTAGTTTTTTGAGGAATCTTCCTACTGTTTTCCACAGTGGCTACACCAATTACATTACCACCAGCAGCTTACAAGTATTCTTTTTTCTCTACATCTTCACCAACACTTGTTATTTGTTGTTGTTGTTTTTGATACCAGCCGTTCAAACAAGCACCTCATGGTAGTATTTCATTGTGACCTTGGTTTGCACTTCCCTGATAACTAGTGATTTTGAGCATTTTTCATGTACCTGTGGATCATTTTTATGGATTCTTTGGGAAAATGCCTACTCAACATCTACCATATAATCCAATAATACCACACCTAGGTATTTAATCCAAAGAATAAAAAAACACTAAGTTGAAGGGATAATGCACTCCTATATTGATTGCAGCACTGTTTATAATAGCCAAGTTTTGGAGCTAATCAAATTGCCTAACAACAAATCAGTGGATTAAGAAGATGTGTTACATGGGCCCTAGTTGCGTAAGAGGTCAAAGCACAGCTCTATGAAGCTGTCTGCAGCCACTGCAACAGGAGTTCGATCCCTAGCCAGGGAGGTGACACACATGGCACAACAGACACATGGCACAGCAGACCAGATCTTCTGTCTTGCCCACTGCTTCCCTCAGCATTTTACTTCAGTCAATCTGCCTGTTCTGCTTCCCCCTCTGTCTCTGGTGAATCCTCTCACTGCCAGTACTCAGTTCTTGTGTGCATAAATAAATAAATCTTTTTTTTGTTTGTTTCTTTGTTTAAAGATGTGGTATTTAAATCCAATGGAATATTACTCAGCTATTAAAAAGATGAAGTCTTTCCATTTGCAACAACATAATGAAATCAGGGGTTATAAGTAAAAAAAAGTCAGAAGTAGAAAGACAAAAATCAGATGTTTTACTCATGTGGAATAGAAAGAAACAAAGAAAAGGAAGAGGGCCCTCCCTGGTGGTGCAGCTGGTGGCACAGCGGGTTAAAGCACAGCACTAAGAAGCTAAA